ACTAAGAGGCCTGCTTAGGGCATACAGCAGTCCTCAGCATTGAATGAAAGATAGAGCAGAGAGATCAGAACGGAGTACCCTATAGGTATGTTCTGTTGGTTTCAGAGGTTTCTGAGCAGTGGCATTGGCAGGGAGGCTGGTAAAGAGTTCACTATAGAGCAGATTCCACTACACATGCCTTCTGGAGCAATTAGCTTTAAACTTGCAACTGATAGTGTTCAGGTGAGAGAGGTGCCAGCACATTCCCAATTGCCCTACAGAGAGAGATCTTCCTGGTTGCTGTCAGGGCCACCCCTGGAGTATGCTGGATATGCTGTGGTCTCCACTAAATATATCTGGTTCTTGGCACAGAGCAGTCATAATCAGTCCTCAGCACCGATGGATAGGGGAAGCAGATAAACCAGAACTGACTCCCTGGGAGGTCTGTGTTTGGATTCAGAGGCCTGAGCAGGGAGACAGGTAGAGTGCTGACTGTGAGAGCGAACTCCACTGCATGGGCCTTCTGTAGAAATTCCCAGTAGGCTTGTAACTGACAATGTCTGAGTAAAGGAGGTGCAGGCACACCCCAAACAGACCCCAAGAAGTCCACTTTGTTGATTTTAGGGCAGCAGCTTGGGGTCTTATCTCTTTGTATGAGCAGGCTAGTGGGAAGCAAGTTTTTTTCCTGGAGCCTCTGCCACAGTTCACAGCAGCCAGCAGCCCATGTGACTGGGGGAAGGACAGTACATAGAAGAAGCAGATTTTCCTACCCCTTCCACTTGTTGATTTGTTAATCCTTGCCTCTGTCTTTAGTTCCCTTGTGTTTTCCTCTGCTCTCAACTCCAACATTGTTTCCTTATTGTTTTATTAGGAAAGGTGGGTGAAATTTATGATTTGTTTATGCTGCCATTTCCCCAGAGTTTTGTCATAGTTTTTTTAAGTAGACAGCATTCTTAGGTAGAATGTTTATTACATATGACTGTGATTTCAGTGGAATTTCTAGGTGGTGTGAACAGTTAATTCACTTGGCTCTAACTAAATGTTTGGAGGTACAAGTCCACTCTGACCTCCTTGGAAGGAAAATGTGGCAATCTGCTTCTGAAAAATCAGCAGTTGAAAACTCTTTGGAGCATAGTTTTACTCTGACATACATATGGCCACCAGGAATTGGAATCAACTCAGGAACAACTAGAACTTGTTTATATTCTCATTATGAGTTATCTTAGATTCTAGGAAGGATAATCATTAACTTTTTAGTTATCAACACATCCTGTGATAATTTTTTTTAAAAATCACTGCAGAGTACTTAGTTTGTTCATGCTATCTTTGTACTTTTGCTTGCTTCTAACTCCCTCCTAAAATCTGTTTCAGTGTCAAGCTTCAGAACTGGGTTTATAACTCAAGTTATTTCTTCCACTCATTCGGTTACATTGATTTTCTTCTATAAACCATTTTGGAGTTTTGGATTTGTGGGGTCTCTTTTATCTTTTTGCTGTGTAACCTATCTGCTTTAACACAGGACACTGGAACAAACACATGCTCTTAAGTTCGTGAACAAAGTTTTTGTGCAGAATATTTTTGTTGAAAGGATTGAATAATTTAGAAGGAAACCTTAAATGTTCCTTCATTTCTCTACCTTAAAGTCTACCTACAGCAGGGTTCCCTTTTTTGTTGTTGGTACCACTAAGAATTCCTTTTATTATTTCCTTTTCCTTAAACCATATGCTTTGTAAGATTTACTACTAGCAACCTGCACTTATTAAATAATTTACATCTTTTTTTTTCCCCAACTTATTATCTCTAATTGGCCTGCAACAATTTTTGTGTTCTTAGAGCATGCGTAATTCTTTATATTATGTGAAGTCCCCTTTAGTATCTGTGATTAAATTCTGGTTATTTGTTGTTGATTTTATGTGCTTTTGAGTCATTTACAACATGTAGCGATCCTATGCTGTGTAGGGTTTCCGAGGAGCAACTGGTGAGCTTGAACTGCTGACCTTGTGGTTCAAAGTGACTTTGCAGTCTAACACATTAATCCACAGTGCCATACTAGGACTCCATTCTGATTATAGCCCAGCCCGCCAAAAAAAAAAAAAAAAAAAAAAAAGCTTTTAAACCAATGTATGGAGTGATTTATTATTTTTGTTTGAATATCTTTACTATAACTTGCAACAAGTGCTCTACTATGTAACCTAAGTAGAAGAATGCAAACAAGCAAATAAGTGCACTTATTAGACCTTGCTTCTGCTTGCCTTGAATATGTGTTTCTGTGTGCTAGAGAGTTGGTTCCAACTCACAGTGACCCTGTATAGGGTTTCTGAGAAGCTGCTGTTGGGTTTGAATCATGGACCTTATGGTTAGCAGTCCAGTGCTTACCCTATAGTGCCACACCTATGCTTTATCCTTCTTACTTGTGAAAAGACTTACTTAATTTTTACTAGTTACTCAGCATTTCAATAATAAGTTATTCAACAAATGGTGCTGGAAAAAAAAGAAAAAAGGTCCATTTTCAGAAAAATAAAACAAGACTGATATCTCACATCATATATAAAAACAAACTCAAGGTGTATTAAAGACCTAAATGTAAAACCTAGAACTATAAAGATCATAAATGGAAAAATAGGGACAAACTCAGATGATCTGGTCGCGTAGTGATTGTGAGTCAGGCTATTAACCTTAAGGCCAGCAGTTCAAAACTACCAGCCGTTCTGCAGGAGAAAGATTTGCAGCCTCGGAAACCCTACTCAGGGTTGCTAGGAGTCAGAAGTGACTCGACGGCACATTACCACCACCACCACCACATAACAATCATCAATGAAATAATAGGGACAATCTTAGGGCTCTGATACATGGCATAAATACACTATCAAACATAACTGACAGCATACAAACAGCAGAAGACAAAATAGATGACTGGGACCTCTTAAAAATTAGACACTTGTGTGCATCAAAAAAATTTAACCAAAAGAGTAAAAAGGGAAAAAACTTTGACAGTGACATATCAGACCAAGGGATTAACCTCTAAAAATTATAGAAAACTACAACACCTACAACACCTCTACAAGAAAAAGACAACACAATTAATTAAAGAATGGCAAAGAAGACGTTCAGGCAGCTAAAATATATGGAGGGACGTTTGTGATCATTAGTCATTAAAGAAATGCCTATCAAAACAGCAAGGTGAAATCATCTCACCCCAGCCTTAATAACAAAGCTCAGAAAAACAGAAAACAAACACTGTCAAGGGTGTGGAGTGACCGAGACCTTCCTACATTGCTGCTGGCACTGTAAAATGGTGCAACCATTATGGAAAATGGTAAGGTGTTTCCTCAAAAAGTTGGAAATAGAAATACCCTTTGACCTGGCAATTCCTCTACTTGGTATATATCCACAAGAAATAAGAGCCATGACACAAGTAGATACGTGCACACCCATGTTCGTTGTAGCACTATTCACAATAGCAAAAAGATGGAGGAAGACTAAATGCCCGTCAGTGGACAAACAATACATAAAGAAACTTTGGTATATACACACAATGGAATACTATGCAATGTTGAAGAATAATGATGAATATGTAAACACCTCCTAACATGGGTGAACCTTGAGGACAATATGCTGAGTGAAATTAGTCAATCACAAAAGGACAGATGTTGCATGGGACCACTATTGTAAAAACTCAAGAAAAGGTTTCATACTTAAAGAAATATTATTTGATGGCTACCAGGGGTGAGAGCAAAGGGAGACTAATTCACTGGCTAGAGGGTAGGTGTTGTTGTTATGTGCTGTGGAGTCAGTTCCGACTCATAGAGACCCTATACAGGCATTCCGAGGCTGTAAATCTTTACAGGAGCTTTCTGCCTCATCTTTCTTCCACGGAAGAGCTGGTAGTTTCGAGCTGTTGACCTTGCAGTTCGCAGTCCGATTCATAACCACTACGCTACCAGAGCTCCTTAGAGGGTAGATAGGTGACAGGAAAGGCAATATACATTGAGGGAGGTTGGCAGAAGGATGATGAAGTCAAGGAAGAATACAAGGGTTAAAAGAGATAGAGGTTAATAATGTTATATCCAGAGTACTAGTGTGGTGCTGCGGATTAATAGCGCTGGAATGCAAAGGCGGTGTGAACTGCAAGGTTGGTGGTTCAAGCGCACCAGCTGCTCCTTGGAAACCCTGTACAGGGTCGTTATGAGTCAGAACCGACGCGACAGCACTAAAGTTCACAGTTACCACAAGGTCATGGTTCAAATTCACCAGGCGCTCCTTAGAAACCCGTTTACAGGGTCGCTATGACTTGGGACTGATTCAGTGGCACTTAACAGCAGATCACCTTGGAAGTCGCTGTTTGATTGGACCTTGCTCTCTTGATCATTCTTGTAAGCCCAAGATTCATCCCCAGTAACAATTCATTCCATAAAATCATCTTCTTTGCCTTTGATCTTGCTTAAAAGATTGATGGAAAAAATCATTTCCTTAAACTAGCTGCTCTTTGTGCATTGCCTTTGGCACGCTTTCTTTTTTTGAAGGCCTTCTAACGAGAGTACGGTAAGTGTATTACTGAGAGAACTAGTCTGCAGTCATCCATAGATCACAGAGACATATTTAAGCATGTTATATTTTGAATAAACACATGGATGTATGAGGTGGAACCCCAGTAGCAATACTTTCTGACTTACCTTTATACTATTGTAGTACTTCAAAAAATTCAGGTGTTTTTGTTTTAAGTTGGAAACAGAATCTGACAAAGAAGATGGGTTGTTGTTGTTAAGTGCCGTCGAGTCGGTTCTGACCCATAGTGAACCTGAACAGGGTTTCCGAGGCTGTAAATCTTTATGGGAGCAGAAAGCCTCATCTTTCTCCTGCGGAGCAGGTGGTAATCTCGAACTGCTAACCTTGTGGTTTGCAGCCCGATTCGTAACCACTACGCTACCAGAGCTCCAGTAAATTGTCTGAAATGAGCCACTAATGTCAGAAATTAAATTGCTTGTAAATATTCATTGAATTTTTTTCTTATTGTCTTGCAGTCCACAAGAATTGGAATGTCAGTTAATGCTATTCGCAAGCAGAGTACAGATGAGGAAGTTACATCTTTAGCAAAGTCTCTCATCAAATCCTGGAAAAAGTTATTAGGTATAATTAATGTTTCTTCTCTTAAATGTCCTGTTGTATTCAAATGGTTTTATTTTTCCTGTTTGTTAATGAATCTAGATGTTGACTGAAATGAGTGCTTTAAAGTAAGGATGAGGTTCCGGCGCTTCCCTGACCAGGCAGCTCAGGTAGGGCAGTCTCGGGGAAAAGGGGCGGAATCGCACATAAGAAACCTCTGTCTAGCAGACAGATAGCCTTTGAACAAACATAAGATCCTATGAAGGGAGCATGACGGAAGGCAGAATCTCCAGTAGGTACTATTCAATCTGTCTGGGCGGAGCTGATGAAAGGAGATACAGATGGGTAACTGGTGATACTGTAGTGGATAATGCTTATCAGGATGGACTATGAGGGTTGGAAATGCAAAGGTAGAAGCTTTGTAACAAGAAATGGAGTGATTAATTCTCCAGGATAGGAGCGGAGACCTCTGGGACCATCAACGGAGAAGAGCCCAGAGTGGGACCCTACCCAGAGAAACAGAGATGCCTGAGATAGAGACACAGATGATGACGTGGAGTGATGAAGCGACTGGGGACTTTGGACCCAGAGAGGGAAAGGGACTGTGGGCCGAAAACTGGGGGGAGGGAAGGGGGAAGTGTAGGGGGTGGGTTTCTGGGATATACCCTTTGGGTGGTTGATGATGCATGGAGGGGATTGGAACCATGGCAATGAGATGATATACGATGGAATGAATGTAAAACTAAAGTTCTC